CTCTAGATATTACATTGTTCATATGAATAAAATGACCGTTTCCTTGTTAGGATTTGAGGTTTTCACGGCGGTGAGTATGAAGATGGATGTCTTCTTGGTTGTTGCGCCGTGTAGTCTGGTAAAAGTTTACCAGCGTTCAAATGGTCCCTGCTGCCTCCATCATCAGGCCGATGAGTCATCTCCTCGTCGCCCTGATAATGGAGACAGGACTTCTGAAACACTGGTAAACTTCTACCAGACTACAAGGTGCCACAACCAAGAAGACATCCATCTTCATACTGTTCGCTGTATGAGTCGCGTTTTGCTTTAGCTGGTTGAGACACCCGCATGTTCAGACTGTTTCGTTTATTTTCGCTGTTATTAATAAAGAATCGCGCTTATGTGCTCAGAGAGCAGCAGACCACCGGTTAACACTGCCTGGTACAGCTGAAAGTAAAAGGTTTAAAAGGTTGTTTCTCCCTTGCTTAATTAAACGCCACGTCATGAAGACGTGTTGGGGAATCTGGGTAATACTATGAGCATCTTTTTGCACCAACAGCTTTGTTCACGGTACCAACTTTATAGGACGCTCGGTGGGTGACGGTAAGGAGAACAAGTTAGCAAATGTCTACACAGCATAATTTTAGTTTGCTCGCCAGAATTTGATCTTTACCGTAAATAGATGCTCTGATGGAACCTGTACAAGTTCAAAGTTTAAATATGGCTGTCTTCTGAGTTCTAGAGCCGTGTACCCTGGTAGAAGTGTACCGACGTTAACATGGCGGTTCTGTCAGGCGCCTTGTATGTCTTATAATATATCGTTGTGGCTGCAGTTCACAATTTTTAACGTTAGATTTCATAATTTGCCAACTTTTTGTTCAGAATCTTCCTTTATAAGTCTAGTGTTGCTTAGATGGTCTGAGAATTTCTTGCCTTTTTCGGAACCCGAAGATTCATTACTGAATTCACAGAACCCTGTCGATGGCCAGATGAATGCATTCCACACCCTTACACCATTTCCGCAAATTTTCCTTCATTTCATCACTTGTTACGTCCAGGTAAAATGTGGGCTGCTAATTATGAAGTTCCTCATAACATGTCTACATTTCTCTCTATCCTTGTGTTACTTCTTATGTCTGTAGTTCAAATATTGTCCTTAGCACCCTGTTCTCACACACGCTCAATCTGTGTAAATTTGTTGACAGGAGCGTCTTCCTTTGTGCACACTTCTAACAGCAGAATCGATAGTTCCTTAGCAGACACAGTTTCTCTGAGAGTCTTGGCGAATCATAGGACAGAGCATTGCGGGGGCTCTTAACGAGATTGGGACTTTGGCTTTACAACGACCATGGGCTGACATTGGTAACCGCCATGTCGGGTTTATTTAGCATTAAGCTTTACTTAACTTATGTAAAAGCATACGGGTTGTAGACAGATGTCTGTGGCTGGATTAGCAGAAGTCTACACTTACAGGTTTGTGTTCCTAATATCTGCTTTTCATCAGCTAGCTTCTTATCCGTACAAAGAACATAATGGAGTTCAGTAATGTTCGTGCAGTGGCTGTAGTAAATTCTCACTGTAGAGGTCGCGCGAGTAGTCGTGGCACCTAAATGCGCGATGTGTAAGTCGAGAGAGGGGAGTTCAGTCGTAGTGGGGGTCGCACAGCCTCAGCTGCGGTGACGCACCGATCTAAACACAGCTAGAGCTACAAACCAACCGAACCTGACACCCCTCTAGCGCGTTCCTCGGACGGGTCCATCTCTTACGACCAAAATAAGTCCTTTGCGCAATTGCCAGCACTTCTCGCGCGACCTATAGTTGTCGTATACTATGAAAACTTCCTCATGCAATGATCTGGTACTTCCGTAATTCAAATCCTCTCCAGAATTGGCCTACCTTCATCTGGGTAGTCTTTGATGATGGAGGTATCAAGCTCCCCTGAAACGCCGGTAAACTTCTACCAGACTACACGAAGCAACAACCCGGAAGACAGTCATCTTCAGCCTAGTGACATCAGTGACTCCCAGTCTTTTCCAAACACAGGGTCGCATTCATCCTTTCTTATCGACAAGCGAGTCGCAAGGATATAAGTGAGGACACTTTATTGAAACGCCATGGTATTTTATTATAAATGTTGCTACGTTACTGGTAGAAATAGGTTCACAAGTTACTGAATATATTCTTCAACAGAGTCAGTCGTTTGTGAGTTATTTGACGTCTTTCGATATCATATTGCGTTTATGTTTTTGCGATTAGCTCGCGTACCTCCTAATGATGATCCTTGAGACCCATCATAGTCCATGACTTGACGTTCTTCATTTCGCTGTAGTTTCTTACAACGATAAGTACCGGTAAATAACAAAGCATCAAAGCGTAAATTTTAATATCAGGTAAGTATTTTCCATCATGCAGAGTGACATAATACTACAAAGAATTATACACTGCCACAAATGACATCTGCGGGCTTCTGGTTGAAAACTGCTGTGAAAAAATGTTTTCTACGCACTAGATGTCTCCCACACCGCGATCTGCGCCAGCATGGCTGCGCGTACGAGAGAAGTTCTCTGTGCGTAGCGGAAGTAACGGACCAGTTATTTGTTCACCTGAATTTTCTTTGCAGTGTTTTCAGGGCCGTGTATTTAGTCTGGCATGCATCCATTGCATTGTCGGAAACACGCGTAAGCTACATCTGTAGCCCACGTGTTGCAAATACACATGGCCTGATCTTAAAAATGCCAAGTATTCGCATCGCTCCATGTTTGCAAGAAACTTACTTAAACTAATAAACGAACAGGAAAGGAGGAGCGCTTGGGTTCTGTCACATCGGATACTGCCTGATTGCTATAAATAAGTCAATTTTATATCTGTGACGTGGACCGGGGGGCAAATAGATTGACTGTTGTACAGATTACTTTAAGTGAAGCGGTAAAACTTTGCGTTTAATAAATACATATGAAATGCATGAATATTAACACAGACGATATTCATTATTTTAACACGTTCAAGCAACTCATTAACCAAGTCTGTATATTTCTTGGATCCACAGTTCTTGTACGTCTGTTTCTCTTAGTATTGCCCTCTTACTGTATCATAATACATATTTATATATCCATGATTTTCTCATAACCTAGAATTACTATTTTATTCCACCACGTACATTTTAATTTTGTGTAGGTGTTATGCCGACACAGATCTGTGTAGTATAAGATAACACAACTGAATAAACATTATTCATCCCATGGTAGAGTTATTCATGAGAAGCTTATAGTCGCTTAGCTTATAAATAAATTACCCGCCTCTTATGGAACTAGAAGGTTTCCCGTTTACACAGCAGCCTGCCGCTGGTTCGTCTTCTAACTCAGATTACGTGTTCACACCCAGGCTTCCAAGATATTACCTATTATGTTTCTTGTAGTTTAATTCGAATTACATGCCATGGCTTCAGCTACTTAAGCCGACATTCCGACTCCTTTCGTACTGTTTTATTATCTGTTAAGTACAATTGCGAGTGTACTTCTACTTCGGTAAACGTTTAATGTGCTAGTGTTTTACCTACTAGTACAGTTCCCAAGACCTAAATGTTTGTTTTGTTAGAAGTATCAGTTTGATACTTACATTTCGTACTGCGTTGCTTGTAAATAAGCCAGATAATTCCAAATTTATTGGAAGGTCGAACATACAGATAGAATGTTCGTATCAGAATGGCTAACTGAATTTTTAAATTCGGTTTTATAGTGTTTTACGTACGGTCGGTGAAATCTTGTAATGATCTGTATTTTTGAAATAAATAAACAAACGCATGTACTTCAGTTTGCACATTAATTGACTAAAATTATTGTCTTACTACAATGACGTTGAGATAAACATTAAGATGTCAAAAACTTAGAACTTCAATTTTACAACCAAGATTTTAGTTTCCGGAACTGAAAGGACTTGACACGGAATTCATAATTTTTCCCTGTTGTGATATTTGGATCAAAGTATTAATATTGTGTCTATAAACACACGAACCTTTTTATTAGTTCCTTTGTGATGTTTAGACGCATTAAATGCCCCATTGAACTTCGCGGTTGATTGGTTAGTATCCCTGCTTTGTGTTAGTAAGGTAAATCTCTGACCGGGGACAGGCTATCATGGTGGAAATTTTTCGTGTTTTTATCCCCTCCGGCCAAATTCCGATTTAGTTAATACCTTAAATTAATCCACAGCCGCTTTTTCCACATCGTTTCCATTATCAGTCACTCACTAATCGTCCTATATTTCGGTGTTGTAAAGTCTGAACAGATGAAATTGCAATTAAATAAACCAAGAAGAATAAGTTAAGTGATTCTTGATTTTCTTTGTAAGATATAAACTTTGAAGTCTTATACTTAAAATTCCATGAATGTGATATTTGAAATCAACAGCGATATATTTATTGTAATTATTTGTTGATGTAGGCTAACAGTACCGATTTCTGTTGTTTTATCAGACCCTATCTTAGAACTGTTACTTATACGTAGATAACAGAATGCTGATAATTTTACGTTGATTCTGTTCAAGTTTATAACGATTTCAGTTAAAAGTATGTTTATTATATCGTAGGTAAGTACGCAATGAAATTATTTCCTATTGTATCTAACATGACCTGATGATACTGTATTTGGGTGCATAATTTTAAATGTGAAAGTTTTAATTACCTCCTGTAGAATCGATTGTTTGTGTGAGTTTGTTTAAAGCATAAGCGACAGAATTTAAAAACAAATTTTGCTGAGATGACTACTGACGGCAGTTCAACCCATCTTCGAACTTGCCGCCGAGAAAACATCAAATTATGCTGAGGTTTCAGACTCCTTTTCTTCATTGAATCATTCGCATACTACAGTTAGGCTGTTCTCCGCATAATTTCTGGCACTTTTTTTTATTAACACGTGGATAGGTTGGATTAATTTTACCACGTAGGAAGTACCCACTCCTGCAGCTCTAGTCGACTATGTTATGTTAGGCATTAGTTATTTATTTATGTTCATTATTCATTGCAGCAAGATTGCCCTAATGGAAAGTTAACACCGACCAAGTTTGTCGACATGTATAAGATGTTCTTCCCCAACGGAAATGCTGAGGAATTCTGCGACCATGTCTTCCGGACATTCGACATGGATAAGAATGGCTACATAGATTTCAAGGTGAGTGTTCTGCTAAGCACCTTGTATCTGGTCTAAACAGTTAATTTATTAATTTTAAAAAACTGCACTTACAATCTGATGAAATCGTTAAGATTTTACCAGGGTATCAGAGGTTCTTGCTGCCTCCATCACCAAGAGGACCTCTGAAACGATGGTAAATTTTTACCCTACTACCCTTCGTACTCACCTCCGTGAGAACCTCAAATCCTACTTACTGACAAAATAACTTAAGTAAAGGAGAGTGTTTTGCATGTGCTTCATGATGTGTGAGATTCCCTGAAAATAACTTTGTAATCGTAGCAACTTATTGTCACAAAGTTAACTCGAAAGACGACTCATCTTGTGATAACCTCTGAGGATTGATGTCATTCGGTTTTGAGTGTTGGGGTGTAATTACTCATCCCAAATCGCTGTCATGTTGTTCCGCTCGGAAATGAGATGGTTTAAATCGAAATGAGTCATGTTTTCTTTGTGGTTATTTGAAGAATAGCGAAGCTTTTCGACAGATACACGTCAAACCTTTGTTGCATCGTTATTAATTGCGGATACTTTTGCAGGGTATGAATTAGTTGTGTTATAATCCATGGGCGAGTAAAAGCTCATCTAAGTACGTACTTAGTTTCATTTGGGGATTAGCAGGAAAAGGAAATCTTGAAATTGGCATGAAAGTTGATCTATTACAACTGTTTTATGTACAGTGAGTTTTCTCAACAGTGCGACCGCTAGGGAACTTACGCATTGTAGATTGGCCCCACTGTACGTAAGGAATGTCTAATTTTCCGCCTGACGTCACAAACAAGAAAGGGAATTTACGCATATTGTAAAAATTATGCCGCGTTAACCAGAATTGGCCTCTGACCTTTGTGAATGGTTGGAGATTTCCAGCGGAGGATATCCCACCCTGTTACTTACGCTCGTGTAAGCAAGTGGGTTTTCATGTAAAATGCCCGTTTTTGTGATCCAGTCTCAGCCGAAACTGAAATGACTCGAAGATATTTTGAAAAACTTCCCAGTGTCAAATTTAATTAAAATCCATTCAACCGTTGTTGCACGCGTACAGACGGACGAACCGATTTAATAAGACGCTCCACAAAGATGCGAACGTACCAGCTAAAATTGTGGATAAATGTTGTAGAATCTAATATTTTACGTATTTGTGTGTATATTATCAGATACATTTATACAATTAGACGTTTGTTGTCGCTTACAAAAAGTCGCTGTATTATTCATAAAGACAACAGATGGCACCAGGCTTATTAATATACAACTACCATGCCGTAATGAATGTATTACAGCCAGAGGGGCTGTATGTATTCACCTAATTGAACCCCTCCATCGACGCAGTTGTGTGCAGCAATTTTTCTCCTTATTAATTATCAATTTTTAATTTTAATTGTAATAAGAAACGGTTATATTTCGTACCGCCTTTTCGCCTTTATCTCTGAGGCTCAGTCTGATAGAAAAATGTTTGATCGGCTCGTGACACTTTTTAACGTCGATAGAATTTTGGCTTAGAGTTAGTGAAAGGTTATAAATATGCCTCCTTTCTAGTTGGCACGCCAGTCGCAGTCCTAGGTGTGTCTCTAGTCTTGAACCGTAAGACGTGGGCCTAATATTTAAATTTAAAATGCATATTTCTTGATGTTTATCATCTGGGTTGTAGGTATATCATAACGTTTCGAAGGAATATTCTGCCCCCACCTTCAGGGCTAAATGCACACGGTGTAAGAACGCAGAATACAAACATCGGCGTTACATTTGTTCTTGGGTTTTTTGCTTGTTCTGAATCTTTATATTTTTCTTCTTATTGTTAACTGTAGAGAAATAGACTGCATTATGCATTAAAAACCACTGATGAACTTTCTACTGGCAACTTCTTGTCTGGTGTGAGATGTGGTCCAGGTTGTATTTGGCACCTAGTAAAGGAACACACTTTCGTATATTAACGTAGCACAAGGCCCATACCAGCCGAAAGGGTAGACGACTAAGTACGATTTGAAGTTTTCACTGAGTCCGAAGAAGTCTTCTGGGTTGCAGCACCGTGTAGTCTGGTAGAAGTCTACCGACGTTTCAGAGGTCCTTCTACAAGACTCATCGCCCAGTTGATGGAGGCAGCAGGGATCTCTGAAACGTCGGTAAACTTCTTCCAGACTGCACGGCGCAACAACGCAGACGACAGCCATCTTTATCTTCTGTATGACTTGAGATTTGTTCAACTCTCGTACATCAGTGTTACATGTGACACTATTCTAGCCCCCACAGGAAGCAGATACTGTGAGGGACACTCTACTGTAGGTAGCAGTCTGAGTGGAATGTAATTTATTTTAAACTTGTACCAGTTTTGTTCACAAATTTCTTCTTAACGACTGCGCCTTGAGGTAATATTCGCACGATTCCATAGTGGACACTTTTTATCCTTCTGCCCAAAGTTTTATTTGTGTTTAGAGCGTCTTTGTCTTCCGATGGAGTATCCTCGTACCATTGCCGGAAGTAATAGTTTTAAATTATTTTACCGTGCATTGATTTTTGACGGTGAAGTCTACACAACAAAATGTATTAATGTTACTGGACCCTTCATGTCTCCTTAATTTCATTAGAACGTTCTGGTCCGATTTGAGGCACGTTCCCAACGAAATGTTGCAAAGATGCGCTAATTACCTTCGCTGTTCTGTCTACCATCCGATATTCCTTTAACAATTCAGGAATCACTTAACCCATTTTGATAAAATTTATTTCTGACTGTAATAGTAAAGGATACTTTCGGCGTACATATCGAGCGTAACTTTCCAAATATTGATCGATTCGAAAAATGTTTCGGATTAAGGTTTCTTTGTAAAGTGAGGAAAATATTCTCAATACTTGTTTTATAGGTTTAGGTAAACCACTTGAAGTTGGTGTTCAATATCGAATAAAATATAGGGGCCTTCATGATATTTTCGACCTCGTATGTTAAGTTTCCCCCTAAATCAAGGACATTTTTAAAACTTCGGGTTTAGTACGTACCACGAGTCATTTATCACTTCCCTGTCGTTGTAGGCGAGGTAACCGATGGTTTCGTTACGAAGAGCCAATTAATTTTTCGCTTCGATTTGTTAAATCGTTCCTACGCTGAAATCTCCCGTAATGTGCTATCGTGCCAATACATGCCAGCCCAAAATATGTACTTTTTAATGTGCTCAATTCATTAATAACGATCCGGACCTGTGATTTTATGAAGTGGCAGAACATTATCCGATTCCACGATGTTTGAGAGGCGAGGTAAACAATACACCCGCTATTCCTCCTGTGGCCAACGCGGCAGTGACTGTGTGTACTACCTGTTGTAAAAACTATGGACCTGCAACTTATTTTATACTGTTATATCCATCTTATCAATAATTACAGACTTGGTAAACACTTGATACTTTGATTTTGAAACGTTGCTTACCTTGCAGTGTATTGATATATAAAATCATGCATTCAAACAAAACTGTTTACACTTGAAAATACACTTAGTGCCAAACGCGTTTCGACCTCAAGATGTAATCATCAGTGGCAAACAAAGTAATTTGTTTATTTGAGGTTATATCATCAGGAATTATTTCCAGTACTTATTCTTGTAGGCTAGAATGTAATATAACAGTAAGCCTTCTGTATTACGTGATCTTTTTGGCCTACTTCGGTTGCAACTTTCTGTTTCATTTTACTCCTTTTCAAATTACAAACATGGCAATGGTGCGAAACCTCGAGGTGAGGTTGAATGCGTAGAACTGGAGCTTTAATTTGCATACGTGTTTTGTTGAAATTAGCGTTAGCCTCTCTATAGCCTTACGTGAAGCGAAGTAGGTGCCTTTAGTTCGTAGTTGTTACACTATTCCAGGGTGCTTTGCCGCAAATTGTTCTCGTTTTGTGGGCCTATATATCTGTGGAATATACACTGTGATATTCTTCCCGAAATGTCATTTGAACAGTAAACACGGTGGAAAGAGAGGCGGGCGGCAGGTAAGCAAGCACTGCTCATGCATCGATCGAAATGCTGCCCTACAAGAGACTCGTTATTAATTCAGTCACGGACCGTTTTTTTTCACCCTTTTTTCCATGCCCTACCATGATCTCGTGCTGAACAAAGCTCCTAGGACACGGCTTTTCAAAGCCGTAATATTCATTTCTAGGGTTTATTTTTCATACGTGTGAGAAAAGAAAAGTTTAAAATCCTCTGTATAATTCGAGTATTTACTACGATATATCGAAGTTTATTATACTTTATCGATTTTTCTACCTTACCGTGACATTCTTTCGAATAAAATACAGAGAAACAATGTTCGTTCCTCACATGCGTACATATGGGCAGGTATTCTTTGCAGTGTTTGGCATTATAATTTTATACTATCTGTTCGTATAAACTTTTGGCCCGCGTATGTGATATCCGGTTTTGAATGTCTGAAGGGGAATATACCGATCGGTGAGGCATCTTACCGAAATATTGAACGTATTGATGGGCTGTATTATCTGAAGCTTTCACGGCGACTAAAAGTATTATATAATGAATTTTCCTGGGGCTACCAGCCGTGTAAGGTGGCTTAATGAACATAACACAAACGTTTCGAGAACCACCTGACACGGCTGGTAGCCCGAGAAGAATTCATTATACTGATGGGTTGTAGTAGTCTTTTGTCAAGGAAATTACGAGAAAGGAAACTCCCGTATAGGAAAATTCAATAAATCAGATGGATACTTTTGTATCTTTATTAAAACTTTGTCACTTTATATCCGAATTATAAATAGCCAAGTTTCACTATGCCATTTATTAATACTGGTCGTACACGTTCTTCAGTCACTGACATATCCTGTAAACGTCCTTCTGTTTGTAAATATTGAAATCAGCTAAACCACTAACGTGTTTTTTCTTCTCTTGGGTTTATCTAGGGATACCATTTACTATATTGTCAACTTACATTCTTTCAACATTCGCAGAAAGTAATATATAACTCAGGTGAGATGTTTGGGTTCTCATGGCTGCA